GTCCCTGGGAGCCTGTACCGCTGGCGAGGCCATAGGCAGGCACAGCAGGGCAGGGAGTGGGAGGAAGGGTGGTGCTCAGTGATGGAGGAGGGCTGGGTGAAATCTCCCAGCATCCATCAGAACCAGGAAGGGACAAACCACACTGTAAAGAAGCCTCTCACAGGCCAGCCAAGCACTCTGATGGTTAAGGCGGTTGGATCCCACATGTCCAACTGTGCAGGTGGCATCCCAGACAGGCTTGAAAATCACACTGGGCACATGTGCGTGCCCAAAATCCCGAGAAAAGAATAGAGAAGGATTAAGGTGTGCCCACCCCTCCCCATGGGGTCATTTCTCTCTCTCTCCTTCTCCCCACCACCTCCAGCTAGCGCACGTGCCCTACAGCAAATGAAAAAAAGAGGCTCCTTACTCCTCATTCTTCCTCTCTGCTCGTAAATGCTGAGACCTTGAAGAGGAGAGCGATGAAATGCCTTCGAACCAGACTCCACTCTTCCAAACAGCCAGGGCCCAACTCCAGCTGATGCTGGGGAACAGGGAGGAAAGGAGCGCTGAATCCAGTTTGCGATGGAAATTTTTTAAATGTAAAAGATTTGAGTCTTAATTACTGGAACAAGGCTGTTGTAGTAAAGGAAAGTGGCTGCAACGTTATGGAACCAGACCAAGGCGTCGTTAAGGGAGCTGCTCCCCAGCAGGACAGAGCGCGCTGGTACAGTCTAGCCTGGGGCAGTTACTGGAAGAAATAAAAAGGTTTATACCCCGAGTGGGGAGTCTTCAGTAAATCTGACCCAATTACGTGCATGCAGGAAGTAACTGGGCCTCGGATCAGTGCGCCAGTCAGAACACCCTGATGCAGGATGATGACTCACAGAGCGCGTCCTCCTCTTCCCGGTTCAGGCCCTGCCTGGCCTCCCCAGGGTAGTGAGCAGGGGACTCTGTCTTTGAGGCTCTCAGGAGGAGGAATTCCATGGTTTCTTCTTACAGGAATCTTGATGGAATGTGCTCAGAGGCAGCTGAAAAAGACGGTGCAATGTGCTTACTTCTGCTGTGTTCCAGGAAGCATCAGCCCCGCCTTACCCCAATATCAGCCAGCGGCCCCCTTTGGGAAGGAGGGCCAACAGCCAAGGTCTTCGAGTCTCAAGGCTGAGAAAGTCGGAGGACATCCTAGTCCCTGGGACACAGAGGCAGCACATCTAGACGATCGGAAAACTGCCAGCAAGTCCTCCACTAGAAGATGAGAGAAGATGCAGTTTTTAAAGAGCAGTGCAGGAACTGTTGATATTTGCAGAACAGAATGGTCCCTTGGCTCCTCTCCCTCTGGGGGAAAGGGAAAGACTAACACTTACTGAGTGCCCATTCTGTATGGGCACCAGGTTCACTCTTGTTTTATCTAACACTCCCACTACCCTGTAAGGAAGACATTTTCTCCATTTTTACAGATGGAGAAACAGGCACGGTGGTTGCCTAAGTCAAATATTGCTGCATTTGAATCTTGGGTCTTTCTGAATGACAGACATGGAGAGTCCATGTTGCTGTCATGCCATCAAGACCATTGGTTTTAGTTGTCCCCAGCAGTTCCTTCAGGGACACCTCGGTTCTGAGCCACAGTCGTGCTCCTCTTGGGGCCAGCTCCCAGCTAATGGCTAAGCAAGCAGTCAAAGAAGGACCGAGCCCTCTGGCTGAGGCTTTGTTAGGTCTGCATCACAGGCTGAGAGCTTCTCCTGGCCAATCCGCTTCCTCCCCTGTCCTTTCTCAGCTGTTCTGGACATCTGGTTCTAGAACTCACTGGGACTCCCAATAGTCTGCTCCCAAACACTTCCTCTTTCTGATACTTTAACCTTATTCTCACTCATCCTTGAGGTTACATTGCTGCAGTCCAGAGAATGAGTCCCTGCTGGTTGCTGTGGCTTCATGCCTTCCTGAAGAAAGCTACAAAAGGTTTTAGGGTTAGGACAGTTCCCAAAGACTTAGTTACCCTTGATGACCAGGGGCTCAGTGCTCAAAAGCAATGGCTAACACTCAACCATGCTTTGAAGTCCGAAGACTAAGATAAAGGGTCTCCCTCACTTTTTCCCTTTTCCCACATATCAATTCCACCTTTAGGCAGCTAGAACGTGAATTTGAGAGATGCAGTTTTATTATTTATTGTACTTACAGCAAAGCTTTATGATTCGTATGTTTAATTTTAAAAGCAATGGTCAGGAACCAGCTTCAGAGACCCTTTCCACCAAGTTGGCACCAAAAGCAAAGACGGAATCTTCTGACCCTCCCAAAGCTGAAGCCAAAGCAAAGGCTTTGAAGGCCATGAAGGAAGTGCTAAAAGGCATCCACAGCCACAAAAAAAGATCCACAAGTCCCATGTCATCCTCCTCCCAGTGGCCCAAGACTCTGCAGCCCGGAGGCAGCCCAAAAAATCTCAGAAGAGCACCCCCCAGGAAAAGAAGCTTGACCACTATGTTATCGAGTTCCCCTGACTACCTAGTCTGCCGTGAAGACAGAAGACAGCACTCCGTGTACATTGTATTGTGGCTGTCAAGGCCAACAAGCACCAGATCAAACAGGCTGTGAAGAAGCTCTGTGATATTGGGAACCAGCAGTTAGCGTAATGGCTATGTCGCTGGACTCCCACGTAGTCGACCGCGGTTCCGGACCCGGTGGCTTAAATCTCCCGCCGGGCGCGTGTGCGTGCGTGCCCAAGATCCCGAGAGGAGAATGGAGGAGAAGGGATTGCGGCGTGACCATCCCCCCTGGGGGGTGATTT